TAATCCCCTTGATCAATTTTTTGTTCAGCCATTGTGGCATCTCTCCTATTTTTCGTTTTACCTTTTAGTGTCTCATCTCTTTCTCTCAACTCCAATTAATATGGCACATCCACTTATTCACACTATTATGTGCTCTGATAATCAACAACAAACGTGAACCCACACATAAATTGACGAAATTTATCTGTCTCAAATTAAAGAAAGTGAATGACAGATTTTAGAATACAGTGAAGAACTTATACTTATTTTGTCAAAGAATCAAAGGCGTAACGTTGGAAGGAAAGGAAATTTTGGTGGGATTTGATGTACAGCCCATTCACACTAACACCACAGGAGATAAGGCACTCACCGCACTACTGGAGATCTTGGGGAAAGAAAATGAGATCCTGGATAAAGAGCAAATGCGTATAGTTCCTAACTCGATTAATCTACTTAACAATAAGAACTATTTATTTCATGCTCTCAGGCCGCATCTATGAGCAAATATTTGGTCTGTCTACGGGCTCACTGCTGGCTAATGTATTCATGGGCAAGTTGGAGGAAAACTTCAAAATGTCATCCCAGCAGCTAACAGTAATTATGCGATATTTGGTCGCATGGAAGAGAACAATTGGACAATTTCCTGATCTTCATAAACAAAATGGATGAAAAAGCCAAATTTACAATGGATGCGGACACTTACCGCTCTTGGATGTGGAGGTAATTCGCTCTGATGAAACTCAAGAAAAAACTTTTTCGAAAAAAATCGCATGCTGGAATAACTCTTGAATTCCAGTCGAACCATACTTATTGGTTGAAGAATAGAATTCTCCAAAGTATGATCATAAGAAGCCTACGATTCACTGATTCTATGTTATTGGAAGAAGAACTGGGAAAACTAACTCAGATGCTTGTTGGAAACGGATATCAAGAAGAAGCAATACAGCGCAACATATGGATGGTGATGAACAAGTTGAAGGACGGCGAATATGAAAGGAAAGCAAGAGGAGAGGAAAAACCATGAATATGTCTACCCTCGGAAGCCACGGTCAATAATAGGAAAATTGGGCATTCGTACAATCCTGGAGAAACGGAGTGCTCCGGAGTTTACAGCATAAACTGTAAGCACTGTAAACAAAAATACATGGGAGATACGGGAAGGAGAATCAGCACAAGGATCAAAGAAAATCAGCGACTTTGCAAAAAATTTGATACTGAAAGATCGTAGGTAGCCGAACACATCGCCATTACCGGTCATACAATTGATTGGAATGTAACGGAAAGACTGGCCTCACCAGGAAAAGGAAGATAGGTGAGGCTGTGGATATCCTCTTTCAAAGAAACCTGACGAACAGGAGATTGCAAAAGGGAAGAGCTAGAGTTAATTTTGCGTACTGCCTGAGCAAACTTGAAGATTCAACAAATACATCAAAAATAAAATGCGCGGACCCAGGGCAACTGTTCAACAACAGGAAGAGACATCCACATGGAATGGCTCATGATGAACAAAGGGAAGTCATGAAAAGGCGACTGCAGTGAGAGGAGTCAGGCGTGGAATTGACCAAACAAATTACCTGCGAGGGGTAGGATATGAAATTAGAGGCTAAAGGTATAAGTGGGCTAAATAGAGGTCACCAGTGTGTCGTGTGTATTTTTCGTATCTATTTCGGAAGGGGTGACTAATGACAGGCTTGATCGCAGAGGATACCAACCAACACACACAGGGACATCATCCCAGCACCATATGATTAGATGGGAATGGCAACCTGAGAGACGAGAGGAGTGTTTTTAGCGATTCAGGGGGAAAAGAGAATCAGTGCATTTCCACACCAGCAGTTATGACTTAAGCCGGACAAGACCCCAAATAATGAGACATACTGGGGGGGATGAGTGAGAGGATAATTGAATCATGGGTTTGAAGCCTAGCGAGAAGAAAATTTCCAGGCACTGACATGTGCATATGTATGGACATGGACATCATCTGCTCTAAATCCTCGAAAATGACGTAATCGAGGACATGAATTGAAGGCTCTTGGGCAGCCAAACGATGATTCTGACGTCTAGCTGCGGCCAAATGAAAATTGGATAAGAAAAAAAGGGGGGCAAATGTAGGTCAGGAGCTTCCATAAACCAATTTGTAGCGACATTGGAGGAAACGAGTGCTCAGAATTGTGTGAACGAGTGGATCGGTCATATGAAGGGGGGTTGAGAGAAAGATAGGGCATTAGAAAATAGAACAAAAAATAGGGGCAAGTGGATTGCTTTCACTTGCCACTGATAAATTTTAAATCTATGCTTACGATAGCGCTTCTCATTGGCAATGCCGGTGAAACGTTTTGAAATGTATCCAACCAATGGTCCAATGCTGGAAATCACGAATATTATGGCAAAGGACACGGGACTATTTACGTTTCACAAGATCTCTCTGATGCTCCGACCAAGTTGCGAAAACAAGGGCGGACCAACACTATAAATCTAAAGGAGACTACGACGAAACAGAAGGCCACACCATCTTGGTCTGCATATGTACTCCTGAGATAACATTGTTGAGGAGACTTTGATTTCGTATGAAAATGCATGACGAAGAGATTCGTAGGTTGATCTCACCCGAAGACAACGGACGAATCCTTTTGTACTGTAGCCGTTTGACATCATTACGACGTGCAAGTTGACAAAGTCCACGCGACATCCTTCCTCACTCCGGGTGAAAACGGGCTGAGCTTTCGTCCTTCAAATGATGGATATCATTAGGGCTGGAAGTCATTCTTGTTAAACTCTCACGTTACCACTAGGTCAATAAGACTATCCAGCTCTATCTTATCTTTTATATATAGACACAACCAAAATAGAAAATGAGCAAAGATGGTTTGGCTAATTATCTTTAATACTGCTCTTGATACTTTTGCTCGAGTGTGTGTTTCTAGAAGTCTATATGTAATATCGATCCTGAATCAAAGTTATCAAGTTAGGCTAATCTCATTCCCTAGTAATCAAGGCTTAATGACCTAAGAAAAAGCCATGACCGAGACTGCGTAAGTCCGTAAGCAATTATGGTTGAGATAATGAGATGTAATTTTGGATGTCCTGGCCATAGTTTTGTAAAGATGCTTATATGAGGCCAACATATATTGGTTCGTTTCTTAAATTTATTTCTAACCATATTTACAAAACTAAGGTTGGAATTTTGAAATCAACGATTCTCAGACGCATGGTACTTGCGCATAACAACCATTTGGTTAAAGAGTGGGAACGGCTGAAAAAAAATTTTCCCTTGACATTAATTATTTTTTAGAACTAATAGGTGATAATATCTAGGTGTTAAGAAATAAATTTTCAGACTGAGACTATTTAGTTAAACATAGACAAGAAGAGACCTTTTCTCATGTCATCATTTTGCCGTCATGCCTTCTTTCAAAAAAGATAGGCCAACTAGTGAGAAAGTGGGGGATAAAAACAATATTTCAAGAAGCTCACGCTTTCTATAATGACTTATTATCGAGATCCGGCTGCTACATGATTGTGTGCTCTTCTGGTCAGCCTTATGTTGGTTAGACATGTAGGCAGATTTGACAAAGATTAGGGGAACAAAATCGCTTGTAACGATAGCTGGGTCCAACGACCAGAAGGGGCC